TTAACATGTAAACGAATCAGGAACAAGAAGAAAGCAGTAACCATTAGATCATGACATCACCATTAATTTAAAGCAAGACCATCCACCATTAGACTATGAAATCACCATCATATTATACAGGAAGTGATTAAAACAATGTAATAAACGCAAAGAAGCTACCCATAAGTAGATTATGAAGTCACTGTCAGATTACGAATAGTATGTTATGAAGTTACCACCAGATCATGAAATTAGATTATGAAATAACCATCACATTATGAAGTTACTAGCAGACTATGAAGTTACTATTATATTATGAAGATACCAGCAGATTATGAAGTTACCAATATGTTATGAAGTTTCTAGCAGATTATGAAGTTACCAGTGTGTTATGAAGTTACCAACAGACTATGAAGTTACCTTCATATTCTAACGCAAGTCACATATGACTTACATAATATAATTATATTATGTAAGTCACATGCGACTATATCTATTATTACACAAAAATCATTTGGATGATTTATATGATATAAATCATCAAATAAAGTTAATGTCATTTACATCATTTAGCTAGTTTAGAGAATAATACATATTATATTATTATAGGTTATTATAATACTCCTCCTTCTTATTCTTATGAAACTTATCATGTGATTATACAAATAACTAATCATTATCAAGAATTATCATATTATTAAAATATTATATTAAAAAAAAAATATTTGCATTATTAACATCTTTAATAATATTGTCTTTTAGTATCTTCTAGAATAATCTAATAAAAATATAGTGATATTCTATTAATCATATATATATAAAGAATATACTGATGTATAGATAAAAATTTGATATAAATCTTAAGAAGAAATTGAAAGTAAAATCAGAGAATACTTAAAAATTCCAATTCTAATGCAAGATTTTTTGCAAGTAAATTATACACAATCCAGTTTATCTTAAAGCTTAAAATCCATTCAAATTAAGCAAATTTCTTAAAGAATAATCAATAAAAATATTGTAGCTGATGCTGCTTTGCCTTCAAATACTATTACACAAAAAAAAGCTGCAGAATTTACCAATGTAACTAATATAAAGCTTGTTAAATTCTAACAAATTTATAACTCTATTACTGACTTGAAGATTTAGCTTAACATAATGAAACGTATAATAACTCTCAAGCAAGTTTTGCATGATGAGGATAACAAGATTAAGAAGTTAAAATATCATGCAGAATACCAATGAAAAAGAGAGCAAAAAAAGTAAAACTCTTACAAGAATACCAAGAAATAATAAAATATAATTCACCTAATCATTTACCTCTTTTTGTTTAATATCTCAATTTACATGAGTATATATATAAAAGTATTAAATTCAGAGCTACAAACAAAAAGAGAAGAAAAAAGTTTATTAAAATTAAAACTATTTGATATTTTCAGAAGGTTTTTAATTCAAATATAATAAGTATTACTTCAACATCACCCTTAATAATTATTTGTTATCATTTTGATCAAATACTATAGCAGCAAAGACTTATTACTATCCAGCTATTATTACAAATACATCTGTTTTCAAAATGAAAAAAATGATTATATTGATGAATATTATTATTTTACATCTGTAAAGAAAATGAAAAAAATGAGCATATTGATTAAAGATGAATAATATAATTAAAAAAATAGCATAATTGAATTCCATCTTGTAATGCAATTAAATTTTCTTATGGTGAAATTAAGTTGCAACTTAATTGAAATTTGAAAATAATTATAGGAATCATCTTTAATATTAATGAATATTATTGTCTTGTATTTGTAAAGAGAAGAAAATAATTTGCAGCCTTATTTTTAACCTATTTTTTTATCATTTTTTAAGATGATAAAATTCTTGCAATTAGAAGAACTTTTTAAACTATTCAAAGTTTCTAAGAGTTAATTACTCTATCTAATCATAATTTTCTAAATCAGTATATAGTAAAAACTTATTCTATCAGTTTACTTACTTATTAATCCAGGTAAGACAAATAATGCTTTTCATAATAGTCAACTTTTGATTTTTGTACTTCTATAATATCATGTTGGTACAAGTTCAACTACTTATATAAGTGATTTAAATTCACTAACTCAAAACAGTCATATTAAAAATTGATGATCAAACCTATTTGGATTTTTTTAGTCGATAGAGGTTTAGATAAAAACTCACATTACATGAAAAATATTCTTTAAAATTGTAGAATGTTTTGTGTCTTTAATCTTAATTATCTTTTTATTTAAATATACGCATCTGATCAGTTAGTATATAATTTCATAAATATAGTATAATAATGCTCTCTTAAAAATTAGCTAACATAATATTACTAATTGACAAATATAGTTTCTACCTCAATTTTCAAGGCTAAGTAATTGATTTAGAACTTACAATAAAATCTTTTATCATATTAAAAAAATCTTATATACTCTTTAGAAACATGATCTTATCTATAGAAGACTGATTACTACACAATATGTTGACTAAAAGAATCCTTCATTTGTTAATATTATATTTTTCAAATCTGAAAAAGAAACACTAATAAATCAGCAGTACCTTAAAAATAATTAGAAAGTCATACTAAAATGTATAAATACTTACTTAATATTAAGAAATACAAAGATTTCTTTTGTTATTCATTTAAACATTATGAAGAGATAGCTATTCTTCTTATAAAAAATGATGGATTTTTCCCACCTGTAATAAAAGGAAAAAGTAGACATTACATAAATCTGCTTCATATATTAGAATATTGTGATATGCTTAAAATACTTGGATATAATGTCTATTATTCTTCTATTAGTTCAGATACTTATAATTATTTTTATTATTCTGATTGTAATGCATATTTTTAGATATTTTCTCTCATTGCCCTATATAAAAAAACTAGCATTCAAGAAGATGAGAATGATCAGTCAAGCAAAAAAATCATTTACTAATTCTATTGATTGTATCTGTATAAAATGTATAATTTTAAAATTTAAATGACTAAAAAGCACATTTAAAAAATGAATAAGAAGGTAATTAATTATAAAGTAGTTTTACTTTTAAACTAATAGAAAATAAAAAGATTATTGTATAAAAAAATTAGGTAACAATAATAAATTTTTTTTTGAATTGATAAATTACAATAAGATTTAATTTTTTATTCTAATTAATTAGACATATGGAAACTTTATAGTAGAAAGGAAAAAACTCTAAAAAATTAAAATTTTACTTTCTAAACTAATTATGATTTTTTTTAATAAAATAAGTTCAGATTTAACATTAACTTAAAAAAATTTTTTTTAGAGTTTTCTCTTTTTTTACTGCAAAACTTCCATATAATTACGTGAAAAATAAGATATTTAATAATATCTTTTCTGATAATTACGTTATATTTGTCACTCTTCTTATTTAATTTATATTATTTCTTTATTTTATTTATTTTATTATATTTATTATATTTTTTTAGTTTAGTTATTTTACATTATTTATTTATTTTATTAAGTTAATTTATTTAATTTTATTAATAGATATATGTATTTTATTTTATATAAATATAACTAAAATCTTTAGTCTGAAAATTGTGTTAGTTTAGAATAATTATTGAATAATTTACAGTAGTTTGATTTATTAAAATATTTGTATAATATAGAATGTTAACATAAGATAATATTCATTTGTGATCCTATATCAAATAAATAATCAGTACATGCATTTTATTTAATCTCAACTATAAATTTAATTTTCTGCTTATTATCTATATTATCTGTTCATTTATAATAAATAAATAATCTTAAAATAAAAGAATTAACACTTAAATATCTTGTCTAATTGTAATGATCTACAGTATTAAATATATTAAAATTGTATATTAATATTAGATTTAGTGATTATACTATAATTTTACATAATTTTTTAAAATTAAATAATAAAATTTAGAAGAAAAAATATATATTCAATATTGATACTAATGATATAACTAATAATTTATATGAAAGTGATGTAGAATTAAAAAGAATTGATAAAATTAAAAAAAATTATATGATGAAATTAATCAATTTATAATTTCTTGATTTTTATATAGTATATGTAATAAAGTATTAATAAATATAATCAGTATAATTATTTATAAATTATTTTACATAAGCAGCAGGGAGGGCGGGCAGACTTCTGTGATTTTATCTCTGGAGCCTAAGAAAGATAGTTATTAAAATTCGTATTCCAGGCTCTCCTTGCTACTAAAATGAATACTTATTGATTTCACCATTCTAGAGCTCTTAAAATAAAGTTCTAGTATATCAATAAAATTTGTATTCTTAGAATGTGATCCAGTCTTTCTTACTTATTAAAATTACTAATTTGTTTTCTTGCCTTTATGCGCTTTCCTCATTATAATCCTGACATAATAAAAATGTATATCTAGTAAAAAGTGTGTGCAGACTAAGTTATTTTCGCCTAAGAACTTCAAGAATGATAGTTGACAAATATTGTACTCTAGCCTCCTCTTACTTATTAAAATCATAAATTTGTTTTCTTGCTTTTGCATGTCTTCCCGATTATAATTCTGACATAATAAAAATTTACACTTAGAAGTGTACCCTTAGGTGTAAAAAAAATAGGGTATAAAAATTTCTCTCACAGCCTGTCAGCAAAATTTTTTCTTAGAGGAGGATGTAAAAAAAAGACAGCATATGCAGGATAATTATGTTAGGCTATCTCCTTTTTTTCTCACTATAGTTCAAAAAAAGATAACCTATCAGGTTAGACAAATAAGATAGACTATCTTCTGAAGGTCTTGACTGAAGGAAGGGGATGGTTTAAATTTTCCTAAGCAATCTGGTTTCTGAATTCTTGTATTATAGCCCTCATAGCCTTATCTCGAAGCCTATTAATATACTGGGTTATATAATAACCCTCCTTCAATCAAGACCTTCAGGAGAAAAATTGACTGATATATCCCAAAATCTATGATTGAGGAAGCTATAAATTCGAAAAAAAAGAAAACCTAATGGGATATGCTGTCAAGATAGGCTATCTCCCGCTAATTGATAGATCAAAAGAGGAATAATTAATTATTATTTGAACAAAAGTTTTTGTACTATTAATACAAACAACTGAATTGATTCACTTACTATCAAAAATAATACTCTAATGTTCTCAATATGGAAATAATGACTTTAAAAAGACGTGATTTAACAAATCATCTTAACAGAAAGTTTAAGTGCAAGCAAACCCAAATATCCAATCCAGTTCAGCCACCTAGCTCTAATGTATCTAGACCTCAATCACCAGTACCTAGCCCCTATCTCCTATAGTCCATATTCGTAAAAATTATCTATCTATAGAGGATTTGGTCAACTGGCTAGTGAATTCAAAGATAAAAACAACCCAAATATTCTTAATAAAAAGGTTTCAAAAACAAATGCATAATAATTTGATTTAATAGAAAAGTCGCCTAGTAAATCACAAAAGAAACCCAAGTTTTACAACTTGAAGAAGACTCTGAAGCTGGACCAGGTCTAGCAACCTAGGCATACAGAGAAAAACCCTAATTTCTAAACCCCCACCAATTATTATAAATGCAGGTCATGTTATTAGAATATTTTATGGCTATAAATTTATTAGTAATGAAGATGCCAAAAGGAGGGATCAGAAGCAACATAAACTCAAAGAAATAAGACTTCTAATATTAGCTGAGTTAGAGAATCAATTAGGAAAAAAGAAGAAAGCACACAAAGAAAAGTTAACATTCATCCCACAGGATGAAGTTCAAGAGGATGAGGATGATTCAAATGATCTAGATAAAAAAGTGCCTTGGCCGGTTCTATTTTCAGATAAAGAATGACATCAGGAAGTATGACAAAAGGGAATTCAGATAGCAAAAGACATGTTTAAAGTAGATGGTGCTGAATATACATTTTCGACTTAGTTTGCAGAATTTTCGGACGAAGAATTAACAAATATATTGTTATCAGCTAAAAGTGAAAAAGAAGTCACAGAGAAAGTAAAGAGGTATATTTACAAAGGGGACTGCGTGATGAAGAAAGATTTCAGAATATATAGGAGCATTAATACAGGAATACAAGGCAGAAGACAAAGGAAGTCTAGAATGGAAGGCATTTATAGAATTTAATTTTGAGAAAAAGGAAATGTATAAAGCTGGAATAACTAAAGAGCGTGGCAAGGGGATTTTAAATGCAATAGATGATAATAGGTTTCTTATAAGAGTAAAATTCGTTAGAGACAATTCTTCCTATAGTGAAAGACATAACTATGCATTTAAAATCATTGATAAATACCAGCCTATTCAAAAATCAAAGAGGGCTGGTAAGAAATTCGTTTCAGAAGGTCCAAATATTATCCTTATAAAGAAAACAAAGCCAGGCTTCTGGGTAGGAATTGACAAGAAATTTTTAGTTAGGATCATTCAAGGTGAAAAATTATCAGAATATATTGAACTTGATGCAATTACAGTTATATATGGGTTGTATTGGATCTGGGAGCCAGATAGTAAATGATTAATGCCAATGAAAGATAGTGTACTAAACTGTGTGATCCAATGAGTAATAGAGCATTTTAAAAAAGCAAAAAGAGGATATGGTTTGACTAGTATACGTAAGCAAAAAATTAGCATATGGGAAAAAAGAATGCGTCAATCTGGTACTAGAGTAGAAGATGTAGCAGAATTGGAAAAAAATACTTAAGAGGCCAATTAAATTGCTTGATATTACTCATGGGACTATTTTTAACAGTGAAAAATATCAAACAGGTAGGTTTGAAAAAATAGAGATGGTAATCCACAATGGCCATGCATTCCCTAGAAACCATCATTTTCTGAGAGATCGAATGGTAGAGTATTATAATGATAATGCATGGAAAGCTATTAATGAAGTTCTACAAGGTCTACAAGTAATATGGCTTATTGGACTTGGACTTGGAGAAGGTGAAACATTGGAAGAAATCCAATCAATATTTCAATTTGTTCTAGAAGATGGTTGTACATTTAGGACATGGATGAAGTATACAGATATTATAAAAGCATGTAAGGAATTATTTGAGGATATGATAGACTGGCAATTTCAGGAAGGAATAATTAATGAGAAAAGAAAGCAGAAATCCTTAGAATCGCTTAAAATAGTTGAGTTAGCAGAACAGGTATTTGGTGCTAATCATGTCAGAGGCAAACTTGCCAACGAGATCAATGATTGGCATCCTACTCCAGCTAGTATACATGAAAAAATAAAGCAATCTTATATCGAACATAGGTATGGAGGACGCTGGAATGCATCTAATTATTAAGTCAGAGATATTGTATGTATAGACATGAAGGAATGTTATCTGGCAAGTATGCGTGGTCAAGGAGAGTGTTCACCATAGTTTAAGCGGTTTAGGCATCTAACATACTATCTTGTATGAGTAGCAGTGAACAGAGAATTGCTATTTGATGATATTATAGGATTTGCACAGGTAAGATCTTTCAAATTTGTCTCTAATATTCATCTAGCAATTCCTGTTTAGTATAGAAAACATTTTGCCTGTCGAAGTGGAGAAGAATGTGGGAAGACAAAAGGATGAACACCTATTGTACTTCTACGATATCTTCTCGAAGTAGGTATCCTAGAAAGTATAACTATAGGAGAAGCTATTATTTCTCTTACCAAGTAAACGAAGGTATGGTTGCCTAAAAATTAGGATATAAGTTGCACAATCATAGGAAAGTTCACATAGGGAAATAAAGTTAAAGAAAAAAGCCTTATCCATCAGGTTGTAATAGACGAAGGTGAACTTGATTTCTTGATTCAGGATTGCATTAAAGAGGGAACATATGCAGGTAGTGATAAATATCCGCTTAGACATATACTCACATATTATAAAGATCACCAGCCCCAATATACACATTTACAGGCTTCAATGCTAGCATATGCCTATATAAATCTGCTTAAAATGCTCTGAAGATTTAGTTCTAATGAAGTGGTAAGAGTTGCTACTAATTCTATATATATACAAAAAGAGGCTTTATATAAGATCGAAAATATATCTGCCTTCTTTAAGCAGCTAAGCAAAAGACTAGCCATTAGGCGCTTGCAAGGACAGTCATTCCAAAAATTCGGCAAATATTAGTAAATTTATATGTTCACATGACTGGTATCCATGTGCAGTGTGTGAAAGCCCATCATTTATAAAAATGATTAAAGAAGTCTAAAAACTAAAATGCCTTTAGCGAAAGGAGAATATTTTTCATGTAGCAAATATAAACTATTTATTTGTTATAATTGCTTTTGGGATTGGTATGCTCGTAAAGGTTTTTGGAAAGTTATTCCTGATGAGAAGTCATCTTGTAATACTAGTATAGCCATTACTAAAGTATCTGAACCTTTAGAAGAAAGATTTGAGAAATTCAGCTTGGTTAATAGCATGATAAAGAAGAGAAAATTCATGGCCCAAACCCAAATGTTATATACTGGCCAAAAAATAGGCATTGTGAATCAATTAAAATATTACTGAAAGTATTGCTCCATCAATTCGTGATCCTATTACAAGATCCTGAGTTTCATATCTCAATGGAGGCGGTGATTCTGGGAAGACAACACGCACAATCTGAATTTTTAAGGATATAAACATGGTAGTCTTTACTCATATGAATGCACTAGCTAAAGACTTCCAAAATGACCATAAGGTAAAAGCCCAGACTTGGTATAGCTTCTTTAGGTGGAATGATGTAGGGGAGTAGACTCCTAAACATATAGGAGAAAAGAAATTTCCATGAGTAGTTATCTGGGATGAGGTATGCATAGTACCTAGGTATATTCTTGAAATATTTATTAACTATTTGTTAGAACAGAAATGCCAAGTAATTTGCTATGGAAACGATGCTCAGCCTTTACCATTCTTTGGAGAAATGCCCCATAACTGGTTAAAAGAGCAAGCTGATTACTATGAGAAAGTTTTGACTGACTATCAGGCCAAATGCCCTAGATTACAAGAGCTTAAGAAAAAAATGTGATGGCAAAATAATAGAGTGCAATCAGACCTATTCTGTGAAGCACTTCCGGTTACAGAAAAATGGGAATATCTTGAAGCTGAATGAAAGCCATCAGATTGTATCTTATCAGCACATCTACTTTCCCAAAGAATTGCTTCCCAAAGATGCTTAAAACTTCATTGAGAAAAATATTCCAATGTGCCGATCCCATTAATCTATAGGCCAAAAGATGGACACAAACAAATTGTCTTGTTCCGATCTTTGGCTCATCCAAAAAAAAGGAATTAGTGAAAAATGATATAATACACTTGCCCTTAAATACACTCCTTGACAAATTCTTAAAAGATATGTTAGCAGATAAAAAAGTCATAGATTGGGAACTTGGATATGCTATGACTATTTACACTAGTCAAGGAATGACCCTTAAAGCTTCACAGAGTGTTTGGGTCATCGATGAAAACCTAGTCTGGGATAACCTAATATATTTAGCAGTTAGTTATGTGGAATATTTAAGCTAACTCATTCGGGTTGAAGCGCCTCCATTATCTCCTGAATTGCCCAAGAGATTGAGGAGGCAAAAAAAAATAGACAGCTAGAGCATGAATTGAAACCATCTATTCAGGAAAAACTTATCAGATATATGGGTTAGGACAAGGAAAAAGGCCATGAATTTGATCTAACAGTCGATTATATCCTCATGTTAAAACATATTCATAAAGACAAATGTGCATTATGTCTTATTAAAATGAAATTCAAATAGGATTAGTCAGGAGATATATCCCAGTGGATAGTAGATCGAATCCACAATAGTTTGAGGCATATCAAAGAGAACGTGCATCTCACTTGTCTACTTTGTAACTGAAATCATCGAGTTTAAGTCACTGCTATGGCTAGACTAGTGATATGATGCATATATACAAATTAGAGAAGGCCAATCACAGTATTTACATAATTATTAGATTTTTTCTGGCATGATAAATATTCAGTTATAGAATAAATCACTAAAATGACAACTAGTATAGTGAGTTTAGAGGATATTATAGATGATATAAAAAAGGATATTAAAATGGTATTTCAAAATGGAGTTAGAGCTGAAGATCGGCAAGAGATTTATATAATTGGGCTTCAATTAATATTAGACAGATTAGCACGAGAGTTAGAATTTGCGTAAAATAATTATCAAGACATGTCTGTTAATCAGATTAATTGAATTGAATAGACCCTTCTGAAGGTGAACATAGTTCATATAAGGAATATGGCTAAAAAATCAAGAAATAATAGGCATAAAACTGCAGGTAAATTTACTACCAACCCTACGCAGTAATTGCTTCTATGCAATCCAGTCAAATATGAACACACATATAATAGGACAACCGGCTTTATCATTGTTATGAATAAAAGACAGGATAGGATTGTAGGCGTGTTTGATTATCCTGAGCTGAGTAAATATCTAGGAGTCTAATCCAACGGTCCCTTTAGGACTAGGTCCAGAAAAGTAATTTATTTTTTTCGCTGATTAAAGATAAGATATAAAACACAAATCTATTATGGAAATGGATAGCCTCCTTGAGGCAAAAGATACATTTGATTGGCTGGATCGAACAGCTCCTTCAACTTCACCAGCCTCAGAACCTGAAAAAGGTAAAGATAGTCTAGCACTAGTTCAAGATAACCAATTACTAAATGAATTTTTTGAGGCATATAAGAAATGTAAGACATATATTTCATTATCAGGTCTGGACTTACGTAAAGCAGAGATGAGAAAAGGTTTCTTCAAAAACCTCAATCAAGAGGCAAAGATCAAGTTTGCCTATGAGAAAACTTCAGATCCTTTCAAAAGGTTATGTGAAATTTTAGTTAAACTGGAGATTCCACTTTATCTGAAATTGCAGATAATGACTGGTAGGTTTTGCAAAGCTCAGATTGAATTCGAATCTGCCTGATGGGAAGACAATGCAGGTGTTTTCTTACCCATTCTCTTGGTTCAGATTATGAAAGATCGAATAAAATGTGGATCCCCACTGACTGGCTAATTTATTATTTTGATTTGGGTTCTCTAATAATAATTCTATTTCTGCTTTTCTTAATCTGAAATTAACAAGATCCTCTATGGCGGGTGGTGATACACTACCAATCTAGCTAGTCCAGAGCAGTGATCATCAGTTCAGAATATTTTTTTTGCTGAGTCACAGATTATGCGACAAAATAGGCTGATCACATAATAGGTCTGTATAACATTTTTGCATATTAATTTCGCATATATATTCACTAACCAATACCTCTATCTTTTTCCTCAAACAAATGTGAGAAAATGTGAAAGAAGGTTTACACGCAATATAAGACCTACTATATAAGTAAATAGTGACGACAAAACCATATGTTATGAAAGGCTGAGGGACTCACAATTTTGAGATCGCCAGGTGTAAAACTAACTATATCTTTCTGGTAAATCTACATGTGAAAAGATATGAGGATTCCGTTTACATGTGCTTTTATAAAACTCTTGGCATTATATGACAATGCTAATCACTATTTTTATTCCCTTATCTTTTTTCTAGCAAGATATAAAGCATGTAGCAATATATAGAAGTTCAATCAACTTTCTGCAAAAAAAACTTTTCCAGAGAAAATAACGCAAAATAAGGTATATACAGTATATGCCTTAAATTATGTATGGGAGCAAGTTTTTCTTACTATGGCTCTTGTATTTAGAAAAGCAAGATGTCTTTCACAATAACAAGCGAAGAAAGTGCTACTTTCTCTCCAGCTGACATTATAAAAGGATGGAAACGAATAGACTTATCAAATTTTTGCGAAATGATAAAAATTTTAAAGACTTAGGTCTTAATGATGGCTTTTTTACGAAGCTTGAGGATGAAAAAATCACTGGTCAATCATTCCTCATGCTAACTGGATAGAAATTTAAGGAATACAAAATGACATTAAGACAAGCGTTAGAACTTGAGGATTATATTAAGGATCTAGGTTAGTAATTATGATGTTGTTAATGGGCGAAGGTGATATTGTTCTTATCTTTTTATTTTGTAAAATACAGGGTTTCGAAAAATAAATTTAGGACCTTTATATATAAATGATGGGACGCGTTCAAAAGCGGGTCCACACCCTTATTAATTATATTTTTTATATATATATTCATATCATGTAATAGTGATCTATTCGCAATTTTTTATGTATTAGTTGCTCTGGCAATGCTTTTTTATTTCTTAAATAAAGCATATATATTATGTTCTTGTCATAAATCTTGAAAAATGTCACGTGTAATGATGTAATATAATCAGCTGACAATCCTGTACTTAGTGTTCCGCACGGATCGGATCGGATCGGATTTGGGCAAAATCCGATTTGATCCGAATCTGAAAAATCCGAATCCGATTCGATCCGAATCCGACAAATCCGAATCCGAATCCGAATCCGTATCCGTATCCG